GGACGCCACCACAGCATGGCTTGATGAGTGGCACATAGGTCTGCGCCCAGGATCTGAACCAGCAAACCCTGGGCCGCCGAAGCAGAGCACACAAACTTAACCGCTCTGCCACCGGGCCGGCCCAGACCCACTTCTAATTTTAATCCTGACCCGAGCTCCTATTGAACACTATTTCCCACCTCCTATTTTTCAGCAGTCTTTTTGAAACTTTTAACATCTCCTTGTCACTTTTGTACTATCTGAGGCAGGAACTGATAAGTATAAGATAATGTTTGGAGACTTGGTTGAAAAACAAAAGGATTTTGGCCAAAGTATAGAAAAAAGTCACTTTAACAATAACATCAACATTATATATATGGAGAAGTTCCTTGGGTAGAAAACCAAATTGTATGGTCTTTACAATGTAACCAACAGGTTCTCACCCTCAGAGATACATTAAGTTCTAGAAAAAGACATTTATCCTTTTATGTAAAAGGCTTGTTTTCCGAATGTGGTAGAGCATCATCCCTTCTTTGGCTCCTTGCTCTGTCTCTAACTTCTCTGACTCCTTTTGTGTCTCTTCAGCTGGCTTCTCTTGTTCTTTCACCTTCAAACTTGGAGTGAGTGTACCCTTAAGGGCTCTGCCCACAGCTCTTCTCTTTCTACCTGTTCTCTCTTGGCAAGTTTTTCTCGTTTCATGGATTCAACTATCTCCTTTATCTGAATGACACCCAGTCTCCAACTCCGTCTCTCACCTCCAGGGTTTGTCTAATTATATTTCCAACTGCAGAGAAAACCTGGATCCACATTCCTTCTCCCCTCCTCAAGTCCCCTACCCAGAGTCTTGGCCTTCGTTCTTATTGCTGATTGGCTTCAACCCCCAACCTACTCAAGCCCTATGTTCTCCCTTGTACTTCGTGTTTCCCTAGTCGGTTTATCCTTCAGATCTCAACTTACTGCTCAGTCAGATGTCTCCATCTATGAAGCCTTCGCTGGCCACTGGCACTCTTACAATGATATTTCTCTTTTTAGCCAGTCTCTTGCACTTAATAGCCAAACGTTTCATTTCACTAAGTCAGTAAATACTTGTTTTGTTCTTTAACCGTTTTAGGGGGTCATAGCTTGTCTCTCCAAATTGATAAAAGCCTTTTGTGTGGGGCAGGAACCATGTCTTCAAATGCTAATAACAATAGCTAACATTTGTAAGATACTTACAATGGGCCAGGCACCATTCTAAGCACGTTACATATATTAACTAATTGAATCTTATAACAAACCAACGAGATAGATATTATCATATCTATTTAAGAGACAACAAAACAGACACAGAGGGGTTAAGTAACTTGCCCAATTGTCCCACAGCTATTAAGTGGTAGAGCTGGGATCTGAACCTGGGCAGACTGGCACCAGCATTCATGTTCTTATATCCCCTACAACACCTAGAATGAGGCGATGCATGTAAGAGGCCATGTAATGTAGGTTTGTTGGATGAACTTGGATTTAGCCTTGGGAATTAAGGAAGGAAGAAATAGAAGCATCAAAAGTTG